GCGGGAAGGAGTCTTGGCGACCCAGACTTTGGCTTTTTCTTCTTCGCATGAACTGGGGAGCCCGCTGAAACATCTGTAGACGCACCCTATCTCGTCCCCTGCATTGCCCGCTCTCCATCTTCAGGTGGTTGCTGGGCAGTGGTGAGCTTCCTTCTTCTGAAACACCCCTCCAGGAGCCAGAAGAGCCAATCGCAACTCGGACCATCTTCCGCCCACTCGCCCACTCGACATGGAGACAAGCTTTCTGTCCACCATCACTTCAGACTACTGTCATGAATGGATATCACCACAACCTATACTGGTTCGACAAACTTGTGTTTGGTTTCTGATGCTGTTTCGACGAGGGTAGTCCTAATCTTGTTGGTGATACTGCTCAAGGTACGCTCACCTACTTCCCTTGGGCTGGCTGGGCCTAGGCTCGATCGGATTCAAATCGGACAACTCCCGGCAGCCCCTCTCATACACCCCCCTGCCGGTTCCTTTTTTTTCTTGTGACAGGCGATCTAACGCGAAGCCATTTGCCAACATAGCAAACATGAAGAGAATAGCTCGCAGCACTTTGAGCACTCTTCCCATCTTCTGAAATGGTGTGACGAATACCGAGTGGTGTCGCTACCCAGCAGTAGAAAAAAGAAACCGACACCGATAACTCTACTGAGGGTTCGTCAACATCAACACCCACGCCTTCTCCTCCACCAGTTCAAGATAGGGTTACATCGTCCCAAACATGACGTTTCGGGTATCGTGTGGCTGCAGAAGGTTGCTAAATTAGCCGCGACAACGGCTCCGTTTTCGATCCAGCGCTGCTGAACCCTGTCCTTCCTCTGGTGCCGTTAGCCTCGGCGGGTTTCTGGCAACCCCTTTCGCGCCTTTAGCTTCTTTGTTGTTCTCACTAGCACCGTTGCAATGGGATCGACCGCCTATGCCCGTGGACAGCTCTCAGTCTTGTGAATTGATGAATCCGGTTACAAGAAGAGACCCGAGAAACCGTGCCTGGATTCATTCGAGTCTTCCACTCTCCTGGCAAACATGGCTTCTCAAGACGTTTCACGCCCCATCTCGGAGTCTCAGCTTGTCGATCCTGGAAAAAGTGCTGCGCCACACCGAATCCTGAGATGGCAGTCTCCATCAAGGGCATGCGGATACGGGCCATGTGCTTTTTAGAGCCTCCGAGTCTGTCTCAACCCCATGTGTCTTTTTGTGCTTCTGTGAAAGCGAGACCAAACAAGATGTGAGTGGTGTTGGTTTTTTCCTCTGCCTGTTGGCAACGAATGCAACAAGGTCTTCAGCTACTGGTTTTGATTCTCGCCCTGGTGATCCTCTGTGTAGCGCTTCAGACGAATATCTGACGCCATGATGTTGAACGGGCCAATCTGACGCGCGGGTAGGCTTCTGCGATGTTGAAAACGGTCGGCATATGGGATGTAGCCAAGACTTTGGGTGACCAGGGATCTGGATGACTGAGAAGGCTCTGCGGCATGTTGCATCCGCACCAAGCACTCCACAAGGATGGCCACATCAGGGACCATGGTCCATGACCCTGTACATTCATCACAGAAAGACAGGAGCCACAAAGTCTGGTAGCTACCTGCTGGCCAAGCACGTACACACCCCCTCGGGGGATATCTGCGAGCCCGGTCCCATCCACAGGACCACACCACCACCACCACCACCACCATTACACTACACCACTGCGTCTAGTGTGGGGAACCCTAAACGTCGACTAACACCTTCTTCAATGCAAAGGGAGCGCAAGGGCATGGGAGCGGCGCTGCAGACGGAAACTCTGTGCAAAACCCTTGCCGTCCTGACCCTCCGACCGTGCAACGGTCTGTCATCTGCCCGTTCCTGAGAGCTTCGGCCAGCCTGCGTCGTGCTGCCCGCCCCGGATCTCTGATCCATGGCTGCTTGGTTGATCCCAGTCGGGCACAGGACATCACCTTTGGCACCCCAGCAAGACATTCGGCGGCCCTCAAGGTCTTCCCGGTCGCTGTCCCCGGATGTACCCTACCACGCACTCAAACACGTACTGTCCTTGGACTGTGTGTCTTCGACTCATGCACCCAAGTGCCAGCCTTATCCCCTCATTGATCCCCATTCCTCTTTTTGGCTCGAGGTGTCCTGCCAAAGGAATCGTCTCAACTTGTTCTTGTTGTTTCCTTTTGCTCAACCAAGCTGTTGCGACCAGCTCATTCCTTCCCTTTTCTCCCTCTTGCCTCGGCAACCACTGGTGCCATCCAACACCCGGCATCACCACTTCGACATTATACGGTCCGTCTGATCTTGGTCGACCTCTGTCTTGAGACGCGGCGACAGCTCTGGTGCTGTTCTCTTGACACTCGTCTGTTCGCTTGGCTTCGTATCGTGATCGAGCTGGACGACAGACGGCCGCCGGTTGGCTCTTCGGGTTTCTTGGAGCGGGTTCTTTTGAGCTATTTTCTTGTGTCCACCTGTTTACCAAGTCAGTGTCAGCTCGCGAAGTTGCTATATTTTGTTTCGATCCACTCATACCTGTTACAGATTTCTTGGAGGGGCTGTTGGCTGCCAAATGTTTCCTCCCCCCCCTCCTTGTCAACCCTGAGCTAGCTACCCGACTTCCATTCTTCAGTGCCTGGATCCAAGGTGTTTCGGGTCCCATCAAACTGTCTGTGGGACTGTCAGTGCGAGTCTCAAACGTCGATCCCTTCGATAAGCTTGTCCGCGCCCGCGGCGTGGGGCAGATATTCGCTTGTGCCGAGCCGTCTGGAGAACATAAGGTGGAGGACCACCCGTCTAGCTCGCCTGGCTGCTGGTTCCGAACCTTCTTCGCCCTATAGATCACCACATCGGAAGCAAGTCTTTATTGTGGTGACAGTTTCGTATCGACGAGGACGACAGCGGTGGCGAGAACAAGAGCGAGCGCGGCAACACAACCTGACGGGGTTAAGAAAAGCGACGCAACATCAGCAACAGTCGTGTATCCTTGCCTTATTATTGAGCACGATCGGTTGAGTCCTGCGTTTGTCTGGGACTCGATCAATCATCCACAGGTCGGCGTGTCGGTAAAGGAAACAGGCCCAAAGGAAACTGCCAGGGACGGCCATCAAAGCGGGACTCTCGACATCGAAACGCAGGTCTTTGGACGACTTCAAGCTGAAGTCAGTTATCTTGGTGGAATTTTGAAACGTCATTTGGGAAAGGGTGGTTTCATTGTTTGGTTACGTGACGGACCCGGGGATCACGCTTGACAACTGTGCCCGACGATATCGGAGCCGAAATAGCCGGTAATCTTGCGGACGATTACTGAGCCGAGGGGATCGAGTGGCATTTTGCAGAGTCAGCCGAGGGCAGGACCACGCACCAGCCGTCAAGGTTCCAGTTGTTACTCAGAGGTCTCGTTCGTTTTCGGAACACGCTAGCTCGCTATCTTGAACTGAAGGTCACACAGGGCGGAGACCTGAGCTTAGACGGAGCTTCCATCTTGTCCCTGAGAGATTAGGGAGGGCCAACTGGTTGGTCGAACGAAGCATTGGGGCGTGTCGGGTGAACAGGGTTTCCTCGAATGGCTGCCTGAGGCCCGTCTCAGCCATCTACAAAATGGACGTCACATCGCTATTGAACGTATCGTGTGGGGTAGGAGGAAGACTACAAGGAGGAATCCAGGGAGGTCTTCCAGTTGGGCTACAAGGAGGGTTTGAAGGAGCGCTTCACGGAACACAGCAAGGAGAAACGCACCGGAGGGACTCTATCGACAGTTCAACCCCTTCTGCCACGGGCGAGACCACGGCAACCTCTACGGCAGTTCCCAACACTCCGTCACCACCCGGCAGCAGAGCAACTTCGCAAAGAAGTGGGTCCGACTCTCCCAACGAGAGCGTGGCCGTTACCAATCACAGGAATCGCACGCCGTGGGACGCTGGAGGCTATTCATTACCATTGTCTTTGAGTATTGATCCCAAGTCTATCCCAACTAGTGGTGAATGCCCAAGGCCCGCCTGTCAGTCACCACCTGCCAGCCCCAGCTCCCCAGGCCATAAATTCTCTCTGTCGAGGAGTTCCCTTTCTTCCTTCACCTCTGCCACAACCACAGCTTCGGACTTTTCCCGTACTTCATCACTTTTCTCCAGGCACCCGAACAAATCAGATTCTTGGTCATCGGCCCAGTATCAATTTCATCAACCACCTGATCTTCGAACAAGTCCCAGTCATCGGAATCTGGACATGGCGACCGAACAGGTTGACCTCACCAATATTGACGAGGACGAAGATGTTCAGACTTCGCCTCGTGTCAAGCTCGAGAACCACAGCGACAATTACCGCTCCGCTGCTATCGGTTTCAATGGCAACAATAACAACACAACCCGCGGTCACAATCAGGTATTGCCCCTTCGAGCTCAGTCACCCAGCGACGTTATCATCCCCCGTCGCGGGCAGTCAAACTCAAACGTGAGCTTGAATAGGTACGTTGACTTACTACATGTTTTATCTTTTCCTCAGTTCCTCCCAATTCCTCCCAATTCCTCCCAATTCCTCCCAAGTCCTGCCACATCATCTACCACGCCGACATTATCGTCGAAAACCCCCTATCACCCAAATATCTCAACGGCCAGAGCTCAGTGAGCTTGGCAATATGCACGGCCGTTACCGTCGCAGCGGTTAGCCCCTGCAAATGGCGGAAAATGACCCACTGGTTTCTGCCACAATTTCTTGGCCTTTCGTCATTTTGTGGGTATCTGTGCGCCAGTGATCAGAGATAAGATCTTTATTTCTGATTGGCTGGTGACGTCACGTCTCACAACCCTCCTTAGATATACTCCAATGCTAACAAGATCTTTTTCAGCGCTCACGATCTTCTTTCCTACGAAAACAATGAAGACACAGTCATTCCTCACCGGCGAGTGGCATCCGAACCTAATTTGCCCGTCGGGCCTCCTGGCACCGTCGGCCGGTTCTGGATCGGACCAGATCTATACAACTACCTCGTCCCTGACGTTTGCCAGGATCATACCGAGTGTGTTCGGATGCTCGACATTGACAAGCCTCCTGAATGCTCCGTCATGACGCCCTGCACACTCCCTGACGCCAAGATTAACATGCGCAAGTCCATGTCCCATATTTTTGGCAGAAACAAATCATGCACCCGTGCCGTTCCTGACCATGTCTGGCTGATGGTGTGCCGCAAGCACTATCAACGAGCGAGATATCGATCTGACATGAACTATCAATCAACCTTACTTCAAAGGATTATCATCCAGGTTGTGCGTATTCAGGTCTGGAGTAACGACAATGAGAGGAGCGGCAAGGACGGCATCTTGAAGGATTGGACGGTTGCTGTCAGGCGCCGCGAGGCGAAACGGATCGATGACGCCGACAAGGGGAAAAGAAAGGGATCCAAGAAGCGCACCCGGGCCGATGCCGAGGCGGAGGAAGATGAGATGGATGACGCCGATGAGCCTGATCTTGATGCGGCTATCCACCAGGCATCCTCGGTGCCTGTCCCTGATTGGTATCAGGGCTTGTGTCGTGGTGGCTACAGCACGCTTGAAGTCCTTGACATTCTCCGACGCATTGACAATGACATGGACGCCGGCCTTCTTTCTGCTGTCCCGGATATTGAGCTTCTCCCAAACATTGAAGGCGCTCACACAGCGAAGAAGACAAAGGCCAAGACAAGCTCGGCTCACAGACGCACACAGTCCAGTGGTGCCGCGTTAAGGACGTCTGCTCCCCGAGCTGCGGCAGCTCCTCGTAGAGCTAGCCAACCCAGCACCCTTTCGCCCGAGCACGACTTTTCCAGGCCACCTCGGTCTGAATTCACATTCGAACGAAATCCCAACCCTACTTATCCCCCAGTACCCAGGGACACAGATGTGACGGCACGCACTTACGATAGCCCGCGCACCCTGGAACCAACGTTGTCTCAAAGCACCACTCAGTATGACTCTCGCACCGGCACTTCCAACCAAGCATCTCTGCCGACATACAATACGCAGCGATATGATGCTCAGACCAACCGGACAGTTCCTCAATACGGCAGTGCTTCCAATTACGATCGAAACGGCATCTATGAATTGGACTTTGGCCGCCGCTCTGGGCACCAGCGATCTGTTTCAGATGCTAGCTTCAACCAGTGGGCCACTCCAACCTTCTCCCAGGGGTATTCAACTCCTGCTTACCCAGTCGCAACATCCAACTACCCTGCTGCGTCTGGTTATCCTAGCAACAGCTTCTCGGGCTACCAACCCGCTCCTGCTCCGATGAATAACTTTACATCCAGCGGGTCTGACTTTCGCGCTTCCAACAATGGGTACCGTGCAAATGATTACAGCAGCTATAGCTACAATCAACGAAACCAGCACTCCAACCCCGGCTCGGCCTTCCACAGTTCCAACATTAAGCATGTTCGCAACCACAGCAGTCCGGTGTATGGCACCACGGGGTACACATCCTCGGGCGTGAACCAAACGGTCCCAGCTTCGGCCCCAGCTCCGGCCCCAACGTATGGCTATGAGCCTCGCTGGTCGGGTTACCAAACGCCCACTATCCCAGCCATGTCTGGTGTAAACGTGCTGCCCGATCCCCGCCATGCGTCCGCGAACGTTTTGGGCAGTCCGTTTGGCTCATCCCAGCTGGCTCCGGCTCCTGCTCGCCGTGCGAGCATGGTTCCATCACAGCATGGCAGTCAGGATGGAGGGGCTTATGCTGCCCCTGGTTCCACCCCTGGATCTGCTGGTTCACACCAGTGATGATCCACGCCTCCAACATCCGAGTTTATTCCATCATGCTTAGTGCGGCAGTATCGTCATACAAAGCATAGTCACAAGCACCAACACTATCTGGGGTTTCGTGAAGTGCCAGTACCCTGCGTGCCGGCTCGCAAAGAATTACTAGCATTTTCGCGCATCTTCCCTTCATCACATTGCCTTGTCTTTATTTCATTTCACGGCGACGGTTTTGGTATCGGTATTTCTCGGTTATTTCTCTTTTCCCTCACTCTCAATTATACCCGCCATGCCTTTCTCTGCCTTTCTTTTCTCGGTCCTTTCAATCGGCTCGCTACATCTCGTTCATCGTTTTCCAGTTTTTTCCAGTTCAGTTTGTCTTTCGGCGCGCTCATAAAAAGTTCGGCAAACATGGTATAGGGATCACAGAACTGGAAGGTGACGGGTCGGAGTTCAATTGAGGAGGTTTATAGCTTTTATGGGATGGGCTGTTGTGTTTGATACAACACACGGGACGAATAGTAGAGACGGGTAGGGACAGGGAGAGAAGATTACGTTAATGAGGTCGGTCATTTGCTTTTGGGATGGGATAGGTGGTCAGAGGGTCTTGTCTTTTCCGAAATGGGACTGTGAGGGTGGCGGTAGTCCAGAGAAACAAGATAAAAAGGGAGGAGGTTCGTGTAATATATATTAAAGAGATATCCTTGTTTTTCTTTTGTGTGGTTTTGGTGGGTGGAGATGTGAGATATGTGACAATTTGAACTGAGGTGTTGATTCCAGTGATTTTTCTCGTGCTGTGACTTATGGGAAATGTAAATCTCCATGTCATCGGTGAATGTCATCCCAAGACGGGCCAAAACAGGCTTCTATCTTTATGCGGCCAGCCCAGCTTTTTGTTGGCCCGCATGGATCTCTTCTCGTAATGGACTACAGATTTGATTTGAGAGAAGTGGTCGGGTGTTAGGATCCTTATCTCGTATATCACAAGGCCACCAAAGTTGGGGCATTGAAGGGGCAAATTCAGCAGCAAAAGAGTGGCCAAATGACCAGAGATTTGACAAGACTATATGCCCAAATTACTTAGGATGAGGGGATTCAATGATGATATTGCTCCTTTAAAACCAGGTATTCTCCTACCCACCCCTCACCTCTTCCACTTGTCACTTCCAACACCAACTGCCAATCCCCAGAAACACACGAGTACAACCCCCGCGTCTACTCCTCACGGATTCCCAAAAGGACAGCTCAATATCACTGGAGTTACGAATACACCGGCGCTCCCCTGCGCCGAAAGCCACTTATCTCCCTTGAACAGGCGGAAGACCAAAATGGGAAGAGCAGGGGGAGAGCCGGAGGGAGATGCTTTGGAAGATTCTGTTACAAAGGCCTTTGTATGTTGTTTGGTGCCAGAGATCCAGCCGTACATCATTCAATACCTAGCAGCAGACTCTGCGGGCATATCAAACCTGCACAAGGTTCTTGGATGAGGTTCCAGTGTAGCAATGAGCACAGGATCCCTCGCATTAAGTATATCGTCAACAAACGAAAGCCCCGTGTATGAAGCCCAACTGTAGGAACCAGAGGGCTCACGTAGCAGAGGAATGACTTCAAACCCTCCTCAACAACGGCCCCAGTTCAGATCCACGTCTGCCCTCTCCGGATGCCAGCTCCTTGGATGACTCCCTCACCTTCATGAGATGGCCCACCGAAAGCTGGACACTGTGTGGGCTCTGGTCACTTGCCATCCCGCTCTGACTTCTGAGATGGGCATGATCCCGTCTGGGCTGGAAGCTTTGGCTGATATGAGACGTCATCATGAGACGGTTATCTAGATGCGGGGGCCAAGGTGTGGATGCAGGTACGTCTGTAGTCAAGGTTTGGATCTGGCAAATCAGCAGCAGGTGTGAGGTATTGGTGCAAGTCAGCCTTGATAGCATCAAGCTAAGCTGGAAGTGTCGGCCACTATCATCTCACACCAGTGAGAAGCCTGACTCGCGCCCAACTGACATCCCATCCGCAAGCCTGATCTCGGGGCCTTGCCACTCAAGATCAGACCTCCCACCATCGTTTGTTTCCAAACACCGGACAGATCCTCCTCAGTCCAGATGAGCACTCATCAACTGCCAAGGGGAGTCGATCGATGAGTCGGGAGCTGGGCCCGGGGGAGGGATGAGCCCTGGCGAAGAGGGAAAGATGGTGGGGGTGGTTGACAAGGTTGGCCTGTCCTTCATATGCCGCAAATCTGGGGAAGGGCAGGGTTCTAGGCTGGGAAGTCATAGGTACCGGTACGCCTTTTAGAAAGTAGGGACCAGGCTCTGACTACCTTTGTAAAGAGGGTGACCGTTTCGGTGGCTGCTCGGCCGTTTTGTGGTGGCTTACTGTGGACCACGGCGGTACGGCTGACACGGCTCGACCATATCGACAGAGGAGGTTGATTTTAGCTTTGCAGATTTGTTCGATGGGAGGTGTGGCAGGGCCCCAATGGAGAATTGTGCCCAGCGTTGCTTGCAGATTATCAGATGGTGTTTGTGTAACTGGGACGGGTGCAGCCGATGTTTGCATCAATCTTGGGACAGATGGCGGCACAGGTGTGTGCAGTATCTTGGAACAAGAATATTATTGTCAGACATGAACAACAATTGCAGTCTTCTTTCCCCACGTGCGCTGGATGGTGTTGCAGAATGTAACCATGCCTCGGGGCATTTGTATGTCGCATTGGTCGGAGCTTCGAGATGTACATATATTGAATATCGAAGCTGGAGGCAGTCGAGTTCTGAAGTGCAGTTGAAGATGTGATGTTCCAGAAATGGACAGTCTTGGCGATATTGTTGAGATTTGCGCCAACTTAAACAGCCCTGGCGCAAGATTCCCGCTGTGGATCGTTCTCCAGTGGACAGGTTCGTCAGGGGGCGGGGCTTGTCTCATCAATCATTCATGAGCACGACGGCACGACAGCGTCGGGGTGTCGAGAATGGCTGATGATGAGCTTGCTGAGGTGAATTGGCTTACTGCCGAGACATGAAAGATTCCGGAATGCGAGACCGCAAACCGATATCAGTGACATATGCACTCGACAGCCGTTGGCTCGATGACGGGGACTGGAAAGCGTCCAAGCGGCAGAGATACGTTTCAGGGCAGTTGACCCCCAAATTTCGAATCCGAACCCGAGAGGTCCAGCCATTGGAGGGTTGATGAAGGTGCGGGCTATTCATATTTGAAGTCGCTTCCATTGTCGATCTCCCAAAGAAAATGCTTCGGACGGGAACTTTCCCGGCCCTGAAGTTCCCAAGCTGATAAAGTGGGGGCCCTGCCACACTTTCCCCGATCCTCTCACCAACCACGAGCCCTCTTGCACCTCCTTCCACCGTGCCATCGAGCCCTCGGAACCAGATCAAGTTTCACAGTGTCACAAACTATTGGCTAAACGCGTCACGCCAACCCCAGAGTCTCACTGGAACCAAGAAAGGAGCCACGAATTACCCTCATGATTCTTTTACAGCACCTACCTATCGTCAACTCACCACCATTGGGGTGCCCACACGAAGAAATCCGCCTCCCTAGACCAGGGCCGGCCCATTGAATAACCAGCTAGCTTTCCCACTATCGACCACCTTTGTTCCCTTGCCCCCTTTCCTCACCACCGGCCTTGATTTGACTGAGAACCGTTAGACACCACTGTTATACCAAATTGGTGTACCCCAGAATGCTGTTTACATTATGGGCAGCGCTTAGCGCGGCAGTGGCGTATGCTGTGTTCTCTTATTTTGCGGCATGGCGGCGAAATGTGCTCATTGCTCGAAAGACGGGACTTAAATACTTTGTGGTTCGTAAGTGAAAGATATCGACATCTATCTTGAGTGCCATGATCAAACACTGACACACTAGATATCTAGATGCCTCACCAATAGGACTATGGTGGCAGCTTGGAATCAAGATTTGGTCACCTATGATCAAGATCCTCCCAAAATGGATATGGGAGTACCGATTACTGTGAGTTGAGCAGTCTTGGGTGAGGCGTTTGTTCAACTAACACTATGTAGGGTTATGACTCCTGACTGGGCCTATTCAACTGGTCAGAAAGTCTTCGAGTACCTTGGGACTGACACATTCCTGACTGTTTCTCCTTATGACATCTTGATGTATACTCAAGATGCCGAGGTCATTCATAGAATCACGCAGCGTCGTGAGGCCTTTCCCAAGGACATTGACAAATACAGTCTTCTCAGCATGTTTGGTCACAATGTTCTCACCACCGAAGCTCAGACCTGGAGGCTACACCGGAAGGTTACGAGTGCCAGTTTCAACGAGAAGAATGCTGCTCACACCTTTTCCGAGGCCATCTACCAGACCCGTGGTATGTTGGACGAGCTCTTTGGTGCGGGCGGAGAGACCAAGGGCACGACCAAGACCATCACAACACTCGAGCATGACACCATGACTTGGGCGCTGAATGTCATCGGCTATGTTGGCTTTGGCCTTCGTTTATTGTGGCCAAATCAGAAAATGCCTGAAGACACCGACCCTAAGCTGGTCAAGTATGGCAGTCTGGATCCTCCAGACGGACATTCCATCACCTTTGCCAAATCAGTTGAGCGGACCTTGGACAAGATTATCACCATTCTTGTTTTTCCCGACTTTCTTCTTAGTATGTTGCCCATTTTTTGGTCTTGATCATCATCATCACAAACTTACATTGTCCTAGAACATCTACCCTTCAAATTTGCGAGCTACACTTACGAGGCCAAGGCCAACTATCTCCAGTACATGGATGAATTCTTGCGCGACAAGGCGAAGGAGGCCCAGGCTGGCGAATCTACCAAGGAGGGAATGGACATCATGGGACAGCTCGTTCAATCGAAATACGGCCTCTCCCCGTCTGAAAAAGCTAAACAAGCCGGTCTTGACGACGCTGAAATCGTCGGCAATGCTTTCATTATGATCGTAGCCGGCCATGAAACAACCGCCAACACACTTCACTTCGCCATTGCCGAGCTCGCAATCAACCCTGCCACGCAACGCCGTCTGCAAAAGGATGTCGATTCTTTGTTTGGAGACTCCGACCCATCAACCTGGGACTATGAAAAGAACATCAATGCCATGACGGCCAGCCACATTGGTGCCTGCATCAACGAGACGCTCCGTTTGATGCCACCGGTCACGCTTATTCCCAAAGTTGTCTCGGCCAGCTCGGATCAGACCATCACAGCTCAGGGGAAGACTCATGTTTTACCTTCAGGACTTTCGTGTAACCTGATGGCCGTCAGCGTACAGCGCAACCCGCGATTTTGGCCCACCAAATCATCAGAGAAGACTGGCGCCCCTACGGATCTTGACGATTTTCTGCCCGACAGGTGGTACCAAACTCAGAACACAGGAACCGACGATGAGAAGGACGAGGAAGGCGATGGGGTGGATTATGGCGGCTTTCAGGGGAGTGACACCAGCGCCTCGTTCTATCGGCCGGTCAGGGGTAGCTACATTCCCTTCAGTGATGGACCTCGGTCATGCTTGGGACGCCGAATCGCCATGGTGGAGATGAATGCTGTGCTGGCGGTGATTTTTCAAAAGTATAGTGTGGAGCTCGCGGTGGACGAGTGGGCGAGCGACGGGGAGGTGGAGAATATGGACGCAGCAGCCAGAAGAGAGCTCTACAAGAAGGCTCAGGCAAAAGCGCAAAAGACACTGAATAAGGCAACGTCGGTCCTGACGCTCAAGTTACACGGGGGCAAACATGTGCCTGTGAGGATAGTGAAGAGAGGGAAAGAGCGGTTTGTCAATGATGTTAAGCTGTCATAGAGAGCCAGAGTTTAAACGTATATACACTATCTGAATAATTCCAGATTTCTCATCAAAGCTCTCCCCGTTGTTACTTCCTCACCAGCACATAGCCCGGCCAACTGGTTGACAGCTCAACAAGCAGGGCCATCGCTGACAGGTCACAACAAGAAAATCTTGATTGGCCAGCGCATCACCTCCTCAGATGACCTCAGTGAGGCCATCCTCTCCCAGCCCCCCGAATTTTGTCCAGTTTGGGAGGTCGTCAGCCCAAAAGAGCACAATCCTCGAGAGCTCCGTCCAACGTTGTTGTGGTTCCCCCCATCGGCATCATCCCAGTTCATTTCCCCACACTGCCCTATTCTGCCGGTCTCCCCTCCCCCAATCTTGCAAACAACAACCACCCGCCCACTTCGCGACACAAACAAAACAACTCAAAAGTAACCCCTCTTGTTGTCGCCCCATCTTTCGCCCTACACCGCTTTTGTACCCATAGGTTGAAACCTATCCCAATCGCTTCATTTGCGCGGTCCAACTCGATATCTTTTGATCGCTTGACTCGGAGAGAACAAGAAAAAACATGTCTAGCGGAAACGGATGGCTGTCGCGCCAGCGCAAGTCGGATCTCGTTGATCTGGCGGATGCGATCGGGCTCACAAAGTATGTTTTACTCTCTCTATCATCATATATACACTGTTCAGATGCACACGCAAGGGATGGACTTGCCCTATCTTATCCTCACTGGCACTTTGCGCGTGCGCGCATGCAACGCACTGGCCGAGCGCATTCCACTTTAACTTATCTGACGCCCCCTCTCGCGATGACGCGACATGGCTAACACGCGCGCCCCCTCCTTCACAGCTATGAGAAGCTTCTCAAGTCGGATCTCGAGCAGGCCATCGACGAGTTCGTCAGCGCCAGCCCGGCGCGGTTTCAGGCCCACCCCAAGTTGAAGGGGTACTTCAGCAGTCGCGCGCGTTCAGAGAACTCGCCGGTGAAGCGGGAGTTTCCTTCTGTGACTTTGGATGCGACTGTGACCAAGACAGTTGCCAAGAGGCGGCAGACCTTGCCGGTCAAAGAGGAGGTTGTGGTCGAGTATGTTCCTCCTTGTCTGACTCTTGTCTTTGGTGTAGCTAACCACCCCTCGCAGTCCCGCCGAGTCTGCTTCCCCATCGCCGGCTACTTCTCCGGAGGGTCCTGAAGATGAATCTGAATCCCTCTCCACCGCCCTCGTTCGCACCCCGGGCCGCGCCCTCAGCCTCGCCGCTCGCCTTCCCCAACTTCCTGCCACCCCAGCAGACGTTGCCGCTTCGGTGGAGCGTTCCACGGCTCTCGTTAAGACCAGGCTTAACACGCTTTACTTCGAGTCCAAGATCCCCGAGGCGACGCACCAAACGAGAGAATGGCTTTCGACGGTTCACTCTGTTCTGTCGACGATCGCCCTGTTTGAGCTCTACAAGCTCCGCCAAGAACTCCTACCAGACCGCTATGCGTTTACTATTCCGGCAATCAACCTTTTGGGCACGCATGATCATCCCGTCAAGCTCCCGGATATGTTTGCTTTGGTGACGGCGTCATTTTGGGGCCCGGCGCTTACGTGGTTCTTGACGTCGTTCCTCCTCCCCAGTCTGTTTGGCTATTTCTTCAATCTCTCGGCCGCGCACTCGTCTTCTGGACCGGCTGTGGCCACACGGGGCAGGCCAAGAAAGGACGTCGGACAGGAGTACGCAGTTGATCCGTTGACATTCAGCATCGTCAAGGCTTTGGCGACGTATGTGGTCTACGCGCAGGGAGTCACCTTTGGCGGCCTGATTGACCCAGTGAACGTTGGGAGAATCAACGGGGCTGTCTACTCGGGGTGGAAGGGTGTGCTTGTCGGCACAGCAGTCGGTGGGCTGGTGAGCTTCTATGATGCCGTCTTGAGGAAGTGAGCGGATGCAGAAGGAAAAGGTGGATGGCGTTGTTGGACATGGCGGCACGGGGTTGATGGTTTCTGACTGATGTTACTGGATTTTTGGCTTGTGATGTTGCGGTGTCATTTGCGGTGCGATGCTTCTATTCGGATACCTGACTCTTTTGCGCGATGATTTACTTGAACCGGTTGATATCTACGGACTTGGGCTTTGACTTTTTCGCTTGGCTTGGGAATCGCAAATTTGGGACATTGCTGTGTGTATATTGCTCTCTCTTTATGGCGAGGTACATTGAAGGTTTTTGAGTTGATATCACAAGGGCTAGGGATGGGGGTCAGGAATGGAAGTTTCTGGCCTGAAGCAAGCTTGATTTTTCCTGGCGAATATGAATACATTTCTCATTGTTACCTCAAGATTTCATCTTGACTTGATCCTGTGTGTTGCCGTGGTGGTGATGTCTCCTTGTTATCAGGAGGGGCACGGATATCAACGGTTATCGGTGTATCTCTAGCGGGGTAGCTCCCGTCACTCACAGCTTGCCCATCTCACCCTCACCTTCACATCTCACGTACCACCATCGCACTCATCTCACCTCATCACCTCGGACTTTGGATATACCCTTCAATATACAATGTCCACCTCCTCGGAACCCAAACCCGGCCTCACCCCGGAACAACTCTCCTTCTTCCACACCAACGGCTACCTCATCATCCCCTCGGCCCTCCCCCCCACCACCGTCACCAACCTCCTCAACGAAACCCACTCCCTCCTCTCCTCCCTCGACATCACCACTCACCCCCTGACAAAATTCTCCACCGGCGGGCAAGACGGCACCGACCACGTAGGCGACGACTACTTCCTCTCCTCGGGCGACAAAATCCGCTTCTTCTTCGAGCAAGACGCCTTTGGCCCCGACGGCCAACTCACAAAACCCAAACATTTAGCCGTCAACAAGATCGGTCACTTTCTCCACGGCCTCTCCCCCCCGTTTGCAGAACTGTTGAAGGGGGTGCCAGGGCAGAGGGCGTTGCCAAAAGATGTAGCAAAGGATCTCGGGTTCGAGGACCCAAGGTGTCTGCAGAGCATGGTTATCTGCAAGCAGCCCGAGATAGGGGGAGCGGTGCCGCCTCATCAGGATAGCACGTTTCTGTACACCGACCCTCCGTCTGCGGTTGGGTTTTGGTATGCGCTTGAGGATGCGACGAGGGAGAATGGGTGTTTGAGTTTTTTGCCTGGGAGCCATCTTTGGAGTCGGATCAGGCAGAGGTTGGTCAGAGGGGGGAGGACGGGGGCGGAGATGGTGGAGAATGAGGGAAGACAGTTTCCGAGGGATACGAGGGAGATGAAGTATGGGGAGGATAAAAAGGTAGAGGAAGAAGAGTACGTCATGGGGGAGGTGAAGGCGGGTGATTTGGTGCTGATTCATGGGAATTTGCTTCACAAGAGTGAGAGGAATTTGAGCAAAAAGGGGAGGATTATTTATACTTTTCATGTTATTGAGCAGGGGGAGGGGTACAAGTATGATGAGAGGAATTGGCTGCAGCCGCCGGAGGGGGGATTCACGAGGTTGTATCAGTGATCTAAGGTCAAATACCGCTGGTATCAAAGCAAATATCATTGCGCAAAGGTGCTAGCTATAATACAAAGAAGCCCACTGGCACCACACCTCTACCTAACCACTCCCTATGTTTTGGCTTTTTTTGGCTTTTGTCCTTAACCCTTCCCCAGTTAATTACCTCTGTTGCCCCAGTTCCCCATCTCCTACATCACTCGTCATGTCCATAACTACCACCCGCCCCCCAAACTCAACAGTAATATTCCTCATGATGGTATTCCCGTTTATCCCTGCCAGAAGATCCCTAGCCTCTGGCATAAGGATGGTACCCACGGGCACCTCCCCTTCCACCACCACGGTACATGTTGGCGCCAGGTCTACCAGCGTTCTTGGGTCCCGTCGGGGCATTAGCAGGAGGGGCGTTCATAGGGTCAGACGGGCCAGGCGACATGGACATTTGGTGCTGGTTGTTGTGTCCGCGGTTCTTGAAATTCCGGCCTCCACCACCGTAGCCGCCACCACCGCCGGTAGACATGATCGGCTGAGGGACATCATCATACATGCCCTCCCAGCTGGTCGGAGCGCCCTGTCCGCCCTGCGAGCTCATGCTACCGCCGCCGCCGTTGCCGCCATACCCTCCCTGGTTGTAGGCAGCCTGCATGTCGGGAGCGCCTCTGCTACCACCCCTCCGGCCCTGCTGCTGCTGCTGCTCGTACTTTTGCTGCTCAAACTGCTGCTGCTCGTAGGCGTTGAAACCAGCCTTGGCGCCGCCTCCCTGACCAGAGCTACCAATGGGACTGCCAACCTGATCGTGCATGCCCATGGGACTACCAGGACCACCGACACTTCCAGGGCCACCAGCAGGAGGCATCGGCCCCCCAGGACCGCCAGGACCACCTCCCTGCGCCGCCTGCTGAGCCATCATGGCCTGCATCTGCTGCATCATGGCCGGGTTCATCTGCCCCATCGCCGCCATGGGGTTCTGTCCTCCGCCCCCTCTCCCACCCTGAGCCTGCTGCATCATGGCCTGCATCTGTTGCATCTGCTGCATCTGCATCATCTGCATCATGGCCGGGTTCATGTTCCGGTTCATCATCATCTGCTGCTGCATCATGCTCATCGCCTGCTGCATCCGCTGGAAATACTGCGCCATCACCTGCGGCGTCATCCCCCCGGCCCCCTGACCACCACCCATCCCGCCCATCCCGCCCATTTGACCCCCATCGTCCATTCCATTCCCACCCTGTCCACCACGCTTCCCAAACTTGCCTCCCGCACCCCCACCACGGCGGTTATTCTCCTCTTCCTCCCTGAGGTTGCCCCTCGGTTGAGCCTTCTTGACCTCGATGGGTTTGCCGTGGATCTCAAGGTTGGCAGAGAGACAAGCCTCCACCCCGGCCTCAGACTCGAACGTGACGAAGCCGAACCCGCGCGGACGACCGGTGTCCTTGTCCATCATCAACGTGGCGTCCACCACCCGGCCAAACTGGGCAAAATACTCCCTGAACTCATGATCCGTGGTTTCCTGACTAACGCCTCCAACGAAAATCTTGCTTGTCTTTTCCTGCTCATCACGGGGGATGGCGCGCTTGGGATCGATCTTTTTTCCCCATCTCCAGTCAGTATATCTCTCACAAATGACCAACAGGGAAGGAAGATGGGGGAACAAAGACGTACAATCTTCCCATCAAGATAATGCTCCTTCACCATGACGATATTCACCGTCTTGGGATCCTTGAAGGTCAGAAACCCAAACCCGCGCGACCGGCCCGTCGCGCCATCTCTCATGACGGTGCACTCGACCACCTCCCCAAAGGTGGAAAAGTAGTCGCGGAGGGACTGGTCGGTGGTTTCCCAGTTGAGACCGCCGATGAACATTTTTCTAAAATACAGCGGCACATCGTGCCGTAGAGTTAGCTTCATTTTCTCTTTTATCTCATGAAATAACAATCATGAAACATTGTTTTTATTAGCATCTTATCGGCCAAGTAAAAAAAAGAAGAGCCAGATCATTCCTTCAATTCCCCCCTTCTCCCCTCCTCCTGCTCTCCTCCGACCTCCGGAAAGCTTGGATTGTGTTTTTGTGTATCAAAATGCTTGTCCGCTGGGTTGGCTGGCAAACAAACCCGGCTGACTACACCGGTTCGGATGGAAAAAGAGGGGGGGGGGAGAGAGAGAGACAGGCTCGGGAGAAATAAAAAAGAGTAAGATGGGAGGGTGGGTTGGAAAAGCAAACATTGAACCAATGCTGCTTCCCGTGTGTGTTTTTGGTCGCCGCTGCCTAAAGTTCACACCTATTGTCTTTCTTCGCGTATATGATCCTCGGGGAGGGTTCATCACACGAGTCGCCATCCTCGCTACTGGTGCTGTGATCTCCTAGTTCCTCTGCTGTGCCTAGCGAGATGGCCGAGCATGAAAGTGGCGATGAGGTTGAAAAGATGGGCGGGGAGGAGTCGCTGGAGGAAAGAGGAATGTAGTCTCGGCCGAGTACACCGTCATCCCCAGAAGCATCGCTTGGTGATAAAGGAATGTAGTCTTCGGGAGAAGAGGGCGGAGGTCGAGTCGTGTTGTGATGCTCCATTGTGGCGGCGGTCGCAGCAGAAGAATTCAAGCCGTTGTTCAGAACTGATGCGATGCACAGCAGGTTCCCACAACTGAGAAGGAAGGTGCAGCGCAGGAGTGCCAGCAAAAGGTCTTGTCGAAATCTTTCTTGTTTCCTGTCTCGAGCTCTTCTTGCCTATCGTCAAGCTAGGTACGTCTGTCCTGGTTGCTGCGCTATTCGCTGCGATATCTTTCTCTAGCCTTCAGAGCTAAGATTATCTGCGACTGGGATACAGAGGGCAGGAGCATGACTCCTCATCCATTATCGTATTTTGGCGCATGTTTTCGGTATGTCTTTGGGAGGCCAACCCTCACAGCACAGCCCTCCTCTTGACGGCATTACACATTGCCTGGCAACACACATGTCGCACCGCTCTCTGCAATATCATCTTTGCATGATTTTGTCCACCACGAGACCTGCCTCTTGCTGGCCCAGTTTCCCATATCCTCAACCATGCCAGGCCGCAGCCTTTGATCCCGTAGCCCTTGCCCAGCTTCCTCCCTTTCCCAGCCCTTCCCACCTTGCTCTACCGGCATAGTGGTCCGATCGAAGTGGCGCGGTTCACATGATTCATAATGCACACTTGTCAAATGTCAACAAACAGAGATTTTGACTTACCCGTCTTCTTTGGCATTGGGGCCTTTGGTATGAGCAGGAGGCGCCGAGGGCGCACTGTAGGACTGCCTCTCCTCATGGTGAGAGTTGTTGTTGTTGCTGCTGCTGCTGCTGTTGTTGTTGTTGTTGTTGTTATGGCTGTCATTGTAGTCTTGCTGGTCATGGGGGGCCAGCGTGGTCGAAGGGCCGTTTCCGAGGTTGAAATCGATGTCATCGTCATCGTCCTCTTCTTCTTCATCGTCCTGGTTGATGTTGCCATTTTCACCTCCACCACCGTAGTCGTTGTACTGATTGGGGTCGTAGCTGTCATTCTGCCGGGTCTCGATGGTCGGTTGCACGGCTGCGTACTGAACAGGCTGGGCTGCGGCAGCCGGCTTGGGCGCTGGTGCCGCATCATCGTCGTTATAGCTGTCGCTGGTTAGCGCCTGCTCATCATGACCATCAGGAAGTATAAAAAGATGCGACTTACAGATCGGCAAACAGCTCATCGTCGAAGTTCTCGGGTTCTGTCATGATGTCGGTGTTCTCCACGCGCCTTTGGTCGTGGTGGTGGTCAAGATGTCAAACGCGGTATCGCGCCGAGTAGTGGAATTAAGTACGGGCGCCGAATATAAAACAAACGAAGCGAAGAGTCGGTAAGAGAAGTGAAAAGAGGGCCAACGACCAACTGCTCCGAAATGAAGAAATCGATACCGGCAATCAAAAATGCGTTCCTGGTTGGTGAAGGACGGATAAAGTTGTTGACTGGAAGTCAGAGTTCGACTGCGAAGCTTGCCAAAAAGTCAAGGCGCAGTTCCTGTTGTGTCAAAGTGGGTCTCCCAGCCTGGCCAGGCATTCACCCAGTGGCTGGGCCCCTGGAATCTGAGCAGCTGCGGGCGCTTGGGCGGGGAATGGGGAATGACGCACTGGCCAGGCAGTCTACCTCAGGTCAGTCAGCCATGCACCTTCCTGTGTTAGCCCAGCCAGCGATCAAAGGGCCATCAACTGGCTCCAAGCTGGCAACAGCTGGCCTCTCTTGAAGCCCAGACATTGAACTGGCGCCTCTCTACCAAGACCAATAAATCAACCAGTCTCCTGATCCAAGGTCATGCCATTGCAAGACGACCTCTTCAGTACTTCATGATGTTTTCTTCTTCCGCCGGCGGCAAGAAGGCCACTCCCCCAGGTAAGCTTCCGTCGGCCTGTTCTCAGCCCATCCTATGTACCTCTGGCAGCGACTGACGGAACTGTGCTCTGCAGCAGGAGATGGTGCAAGTTGGTATGTGCAGTTCGCGCCCGCTTTGATTCCCAGAATACCTGCATACTAACTATACCCTTGGATGGATTGTAGAGAGGTCCGAGTATGCAATACACCTTCTAGAAGAACCTGCTGTGTATTCTCAGGGATACTGACAGTGACATCGACAGCTCTGCTTCACCGTTCTGGAAGGCCCCTCAGCGGGACACCCCGCCTTTAAAGAAGCCAGCACGCGACTCGAGTCTGGTAGTCGGCGCCGCCTATTCACATGCCGACATTCTCAAGTTTGATTCCTTGTGGGTTTTCCCCCAGGACATTTCCATGTGCAGGACTGATCAGGGGGTAGAAATATATCTGGGTCCGGATCGCGCCCAAGAACCCCGCCATCAGCGACGTCGGCCATTGAACGAGTCCCGACACAATCCCCGACCACACGAATCAGCAAATCACCACCTTTCAAGCAATACATGAACTTCCTTTCCAGTACCAACGATGACTGGACCGCCGACGAAGCAGAGGATATGTATGACTATGAGTCGGACGACGGAGACGATTTTGGGCTTCCCAGTCTATCCAACATGAAGAGGAGGACAAGAAAAAAGGCGGAACAAAGCAGGGCGCATCTGGACGACGGACTCAATGGCGGCGGTCGAGAAAGACGCTACTCGAACAGCGAAGACATAGCGATCGAGAGGCCAGCAGCAAGTTACCCGATGCCGAAGAAGAGTGAAGGAAAGATTCTACGACCACAGTATAAGGAGATCTTGCGCGATCCGGCAAACGCCTTGCACCTAATCAACCACCCCTCGATACCCGCCAATGCCACCCCGAAAGAAGTTGACGCCATAAATTCAAGGATATCAAGAATAAACAAGTTCAAGAAGCTCCTCCAAGCCTCTACTATCCCACTACCAGATCTCCGGTCACTGGCATGGTCTGGCGTCCCAGAAGAGGTTCGCGCCATGACCTGGCAACTGCTTCTCAGCTACCTCCCTACCAGCTCGGAAAGAAGGGTAGCCACACTCGAACGAAAAAGAAAAGAATACCTTGACGGCGTGCGCCAAGCCTTCGGAGGAGGCGGGCAACCAGCGCCAGGAAGCAGTGCACCACCCCGAGGAACGAACCGAGGCCTAGACGAGGCCATCTGGCATCAAATCAGTATCGATGTCCCCCGCACAAACCCGCATATCGAACTCTACAGCTACGAAGCTACGCAGCGGTCTCTTGAGCGCATTCTGTACGTTTGGGCTGTCCGTCACCCGGCCAGCGGCTATGTCCAGGGTATCAACGACCTAGTGACACCATTTTGGCAAGTTTTCTTGGGAACATACATCACAGACCCAGATATCGAAAGTGGTATGGATCCGGGGCAGCTCCCTAAGGCGGTTCTTGACGCGGTGGAGGCGGATTCATTCTGGTGTCTGACTAAATTGCTGGACGGGATCCAGGACCATTATATCGTGGCGCAGCCAGGAATCCAGAGACAGGTTTCGGCACTGCGGGACCTGACGGCGAGAATTGATGCCGGGCTGGCGAAGCACTTGGAGAAGGAGCAGGTGGAATTCATCCAGTTTAGTTTCAGGTGGATGAACTGCCTGTTGATGAGAGAAATAAGTGTCAAGAACACGATACGGATGTGGGATACATACATGGTAGGCACTTCTGGCCCCCTTTGCATTCCTGGGGAGAAACAAGCTAACAAATCAACAGGCGGAAGAACAAGGCTTCTCGGAATTCCACCTATACGTCTGTGCCGCCTTTTTGGTAAAGTGGTCAGACAAGCTGGTAAAGATGGACTTTCAAGAAATCATGATGTTTTTGCAGTCGTTGCCGACGGGTGACTGGACGGAAAAGGACATTGAGCTGCTGCTGAGTGAAGCCTATATCTGGCAGAGTCTATTCAAGGGGTCGAGTGCCCATTTGAAAGGGCAGGGTGGGGAGGGGAGTAGGAGTGCGAGTATGAACTTTACTCTGTGAGGGATGAAAGACTGGATGAGGGCGAGCGAGCTTTTCTTCTGGTGCTATGGGTTGGGGTCACATTTTCAGCATAGCAAGTTGTAATAATTTGGGAGGAAAAGATGGCTGGAACAATTTGGGGGTAACGCATGGGGAAGATAAAACTGAACAAAATTATAAGATGAGGATAGGGGCAACGGGACTGCTGGAGCAAGCAAAGTGCGGTTGTCAAGTTGGTGCGGGATTCAAATATACAGGACTAGTTAATCAATGCTCGATTGAAGAGTGGCACACATTGCTTTTGATTCTGAACCTCTTTGGAGTGTTGATTCAAAGACTACCTAGCTAGCCTTGTTTGTCCAGGGTTAATATACCTCAACTAGACCATGTCATCTTGACATCTGTTTCTCTTTCCCATTCCCAACTTTAGCTCCCCTTGAATAACCCATCCAAGTTTTTGATGATGATGAATGAGTGAGAGAGAGAGAGAGAGAGAGAGAGAGAGAGAGAGAGAGAGAGAGAGAGAGAGAGAGAGTAAGAGTAAAAAGCGCGCCTGTACCAAATATAGAAAAGCCCATAAAACAAAACAAAAAGAAAATCACTGCTGTTCATACATTCCATTGACGCAAGACCACCCCCGACAGGGCCACACAGCCTTGTACTTCTCCATCAACCTCCTATTCTCCTCCTCCCACACCCTCCTTTGCTCTTCCTAGTTAGCAGTCGGCGCCGCAGAAGCCGCCCCCAATACATCCTCCGACTTGGCCCTTTTCGCCTCAGGCTGTTCCTGTTCCTTTACCTCCTCCACAGCAACACTCTCCTCCGCCTTCCTCTTCTTTCTCACCAGTCCGGTCAAATCATTCGCATTCTTCTTGACCTCGTCCGACACCGACCCAAGCACAAGATTATCCGCCTTTTGCTTTTCCTGTTCCGATCGAGACGGCAGCCCAAGCGCAGAATTGATGTCGATGGGCGGAGCTCGCAAGTCTTTGAGGCGCTGCTCCATGTCGCTGATCATCTCCTTCACGTTGGAGATTTCTTCACGAGTCGAGTCGTTCTCCTCGGGGTTGTGGAGGGTGGCGAGCTCGACTTCCTTGTTTTGGAGCTTCTGTTTGGTCGAGTTGATGGCCTGCTCCAGAGAGGCGGCCGCCTCGTCGCGGAGGGATTGGTCGACCTCTCCCGAGGAGGCGTCTTTACTTTCGGCTGTGTCGTCGTCTGATTGCTTGGTCACCGAAGCGAACTCGAGGGCGAGGGAGACTTTGAAGTGGGCTTCGGCGATGATTTCGGATTCGAAGGGGTAGAGCTCTTGTTTGTATTTGAGGGCGGCTTTGGCGTCGTTTATGGCGGTGTGGTATCTGATCAACTAAGATTAGCGGGTGATAACTTGGGTGAGGGATGGTGATGAGGGTGCATACTTTTCATTTTCGAGCGAGATCTCGGCGAGGAGATCGTGGGTATCACCCAGACGCTCCTTCAAGTGACGAATATTGGGGTTATCGCTGCCTTCCTCGGCAGCTTCCTTGCCCTTTCCTTCGCTCTCGGCCTGTGACGCCTCGAGCTTCTTGAGGAAAAGCACACGCGCCAGGTCAAGAATCTCAAACGCAGTCGCAAGATCGTCATCCTCCTCTTCCTCCTCACCCTCTCCTTCCTCTCCCTCCTCCTCTTCCTCATCAGAATCAACAAAATTCTCGTCTCCCTCAAAGTGAAACATGGGCTTCTTGATCTCAGCACCCGACTCCTTCTCCGCCTCCTTCCCAGCAGCCTCAGCAACCACCTTCTCTACCTTTTCCCCAGCTTTCGCGGCGGCAGAAGAGGAGCTGCCCTCGCCGTTCTTAGCGCCATTGGCAGCAGCGGTCTTCTTCTTGGGAGCTTTGGGCTTGGCCTGGTTCTTAGCCTGTGGCGCGCTGCCGCCCAAAACGTCCGACTTGCTCTGGCCGACTTTGAAGAGGGTGCGCCCGTAGAGGTAGAGGATCTCTGCGTTCTCGGGGCTCATCTCGCCGTTCATCTCGGCTTGCATCTCGGCTGCGCGGGCGTACTGCTCGGCGGCATCTTCGTATTTCTTCTGGGCGAAGAGGGCGGCGGCTTTGGCGGCGAGGTCGGCGAGGGAGATTTTGAGGCTCTGCTGGGCTTGCTCAGGGTCGAGCTCGAGGGGAGTCGCAGTGCCTGTTGAGGCGGCTGTGGGAGTCGCCATTATTGGTGATTCGGGTGATTTAACGATTTTCAAGTGGTAAATTTGAGATGAAGTGGTAGAATTGGTTCAATTGATGGGTGGAAGTGTGAAAGAACTAGCGGGGTTGGTTGCGATTAAATGACAGGTTGGATATGTCGGTGTCAAGGGACAGAGCTGTGAGAGCTGTGAGAGCTGCGCAGCACCTGCGATGTGATGCGAAGCTTGTGACGCGCGAAGGTCAGCCCACCAGACGCGTCTGATTGGTTAATTGCACGCTTAATCGCAATCCGGGGTGCTGCTATTAGTGGGACAGCCTGCAGGACGATCCAAGCGGTGACAAGCTCAGGCCTTAACCAAGCTTCTGAGACACTGAGAGCTAAGAGATCTTGATTTCAAGTGTATGGGGTATTATTTGAAGCTCTTTGTTTGTCTGAGCCTCATTACATAGGGACACTCCAGAATGGGCTGGCATTGTTGCACTGTTACGCACGCTCTCAAGCTTGAGAGGCAGCAGTCGCCGGGTTAGGGTTATGACGTAGCCAGTTCTCATCGGGATGGACCCCTCACCCTGACTGAGGCTTTGGTGGCGTGTAGTCGTCCCAACGTCACTTCATCGTAAGCTACCGCATGAGCTCTAACGGATGTTAGCAAACAAAGATTTGGCAAGAAGAGCACGATCCCGCTGCAAATAGGTTAGATTTGCTTTGATATACGACGTGAGTAATGTATAAACGTGGACAGGTCTAGAACTAAATACCTACCGATATACCATGAGATCACCCCTCCGTAATCGGGTTTGTCATCGCATCTTCATGCTTCATTACCTGAACTGCTCTATCGTACCTTCCTGCTTGCGACTATCACGATTCAACGTATATATTTGACTAACTGAATGTGGGGAAGTATCGGCCGTATCATCAAAGAAGAATCGACATCTTTTGCCGAAAAAAACTGACCAGCAGGAAGTAGCTCGGCTGTTGCAAACGTCCCGTTCGGCATCCGGTCTGACGACCATCCCCAATCACGGAGTATTTCGCACACTTGCTCTTGCAAAATAACACCATGCTGCAGGCAGTCGGCAACGCCCACGACAACCACTTCATGACTTCTGAATCAAATTCCGTCGCCTCACTAGCGCGACTCTTCATGATGGGAAGAAGCATCTGCTTCTTGCGTATGCGCCTGCCCATTTTCCTGGCACTCTTTGGATGTGAGGCTAGAGACTAATGTGTATGATAGAGCGTCGGGTTCTGTAGCCACAATCAAACGTGCGCCTCTCTCACCTCTACCAGCCTTGTATATGTGACCCTAATGCTTTTTTGCCAGTCCCCGTCATCGTCGAAGCCCTCGCGCCATATGCAGCTAAGCTTTCGATCCGTATCATCCTGACCAAATCCGCCAGCGAGTTCCTCAACGGCCAAAGTGATGAGCAGCCTACCGTCTCGTCCCTGCTTCATCTGCCCAATGTCGACGCAGTCTATCGAGACGAGGATGAGTGGGGGCCGCAGCCTTGGAAGAGGGGAGCGAGTATATTGCATATCGAGTTTGTGACCTTTTACCCCTGGACTTGTGTCTGTTTTCGGCAGCTGGCTAACAATCGTTACTAATTGCTGTTTCTCAACAGACTCCGAAGATGTGGGTGATCTTATTCAGTTGGATTGGGACGGGGTGCTGACGGTAGGAATAGGGGCTGATATGCTTGTCATTGCTCGTATGTGTTATACCCAAGTCCGCCCTTCTCTACATGGTAGCTAATAATCTGGTAGCTCTAAGTGCAAACACCCTCGCCAAGGTTGGACTCTCTCACTAAGAAGATGCCATGTTATGTGTACTAACTGATGTGTGAGATCGTCAACGGCATGTCTGACAACCTTGTAATGTTCCTCATCCCTTCTTTTTACGAGACTGCCGCTCACTCCTATATAGCTCACATCCGTTATACGAGCCTGGGATATCGACGGTTCGATTGATCTCAAAAAGAAATACATTGCCGTTGCGCCAGCCATGAACTCGGTAAGCTTTCTTACCCAAGACCGTGGAGCGAGAGTTGACATGTTCGTAGGCCATGTGGAGACACCCCATCACAGCAAAGCAGATTCGCACCTTACGGGAGGACTGGGGCGTCAGAGAGACACTGCTCGACCCAGACGGAGCTGCGAGACTGATCGATGGTTGGTTTCAAGTTATCCCGGTCAGCATATACCCTTGATGCTGCTCTGGGAGTGATGCTAACGTTTCGTGACACAGCCCATCTCCAAGTAGGATTTGCCGCTTTTTGAGCTGACATCACCACTGCTTTGAATATGAAACTGACTACTGAATTAATAGGACCCTCGCTTGCGGCGATACAGGAGATGGTGAGTTGTCTTTTCAAATACCTACACAGAACCGCCAGATACTAATCCGCTTCTCACAGGCGCCATGGCAAAGGTTGAGACAATCCGCGATGTCATTGTACACAGAATGAACTTGACAGGGCCGCATGCCCATTGAGGCGAAGGAGGTTGAGCATGGGGAAGCATCGGCGCTTTGGGAAGACTGGCATTTATTGATATCAATGAGTCTGTCTGTTGGTACTCATCATTGCACATATTTAGCTTGGGGGGACTGGAAGCCTGGTGTAGTGGAAACAGAGGTCACAGCATGAAGTCGTTTGGTTTGATTATAGAATCTGATCATAACTCTCAGAAATTGTTGTGAGATGCTCCGAAAATAAAATAGAGAAATGGTAACAATCTCTCAAATGTCGCAACGTGTCAGCACGAGAAAATAAAACAAGCAAAGTAATGTAATCACTCATGGATTAAAATACTGTAAGGTAAACCTAGTGTACCTAAAATCCACCCTCCTTTTCCGCTTTCTCTCTCTCCGTTCCCCACCCCATATAAATACAATTGCTCACAATGCCCTCCCAGTCACAAGTATGAAACCCCTTCCCACTGAACCATATTACGCATCCCCCTTCTCTGGCGCCGAAAATGCAATACTTCGCTGAAGTTTTATGATAATAGCAACTGCCCCAATGGAAGCAGAAAAAACCGTGTAAAAGTTTTCGTCGTCGTTGATAATGCAAAAATGCAATGCCCATGCCAAGACACCGCTTCTCAATAAAACCGATAACAGAGGAAAGAATTATGTTGGAACAATGTTCTTGTCCCCATTAATCGTGCCTAAAAGTGCACTTGTCCCCTTTAGCGCAGGTCCCCTTGGCATAAAATGCGCATTGCTTCGTGCCGATAAGCCGGGTGTTGATATTACGGAGGTGCTCAGGGACGTCGTCCTTGTTGTTGTTATCCCTGTCCCTATCGTGATGACCACCGCCGTGCTTCTTGTGCTTCTTGTTACGGCGACCACCGCCACCACCGCCGCCGCCGCCAGGACCATCCCGATTACTATCCCAATCACGATCACGGCCGTAGTTGCCGCCACCAGTGTTGTTGTTCGCAGGAGGGACGTATCCCTCGTCGTCGTACATGGAGGCGGAGAAGTCGTTGCCGGGACGGCTTTGGTTGGACTGATTGTAGGAGCGGGACTCATAGCCGCCCTGGTGCTGCTGCTGCTGCTGACCGTAGTTCGACTGAGCTTGGTAGGCAGGATGGGCGGCAGCACTGTAGGCGGCAGTCGGGGCTGCTGTTGAAGTCGGCTTCGCGGCGCCAGATTGACTCTGCGCCCACTCCATTAGATTGGCGACATACTGAGCATTTTGAGGCTGGTTGTTTCCGGCGAGCGCAGCCATGATGGCCTGGAGTTCGGGGCCCTGGGCTTGGTTGCTACCAGCGAGTGCGGCGACAACAGCCTGGAGCTGGGCGTTTTGGGGTTGAACTGCTGGCTGAGAAGCAGCAGCTTGACCGCCTAGCTGAGCGAGAAGGGCAGCGACATCAGGCGCCTGCTGTTGAGCTTGGGGAGCAGCAAATGCCGGTGCCTGTGCCGAGCCTTGTTGTTGCTGATTGTACCAAGCCTGTTGCTGAGCTTGCTGTTGATAGTACTGAGCCCATTGCGCAGAATAATCGGGAGCAGCAGCTGCGGTTTGTGAAGGAGCAGTTGCTGGCGTTGGGGCTGAAGGCTGCGCAGACACCGCAACCTGCGCTGGAATCACACTCATAGGAGCACTAGCTTGAGCAGGGGCGACTGATGTCACTTGCGCTCTCCGAGCAGACACAGAAGCAACGTTGATTCTCACTAGCATATCCAAAGCCTTAAGTACGGCGTCGAGTCTTTCCTCTGAAGTCTTGGTTGGATCAGGAGCCGGAAGCGGGTTGGGATCTCTCCAATTCTTGAGGCGATCCGAAACAATAACCTCGTAGGTCCCTTGATCGCGACTAACAGCAGTTGTCGGGCTGTAGAATGTATTGGGATCTTGTTGGACCGACTTGGCTTTTGCCTGCACTCTCTCAGCTTGTGTCTTGCTTTCGAGGCGGCCTTGCGCAAAGCGGGAGGCTTGGCGGGTGCCGAACTTTCTGCACTCATCAGCGCGCACTCTGATCTCGTCGTAGTTAGGAGTGTCGAGAGGCAAGCGCAATTCGGAACCGGAACTGCTAAGGCTGGGCTCGTATTGTGGCGAACGTGGGGTGGGAGGTATGTCGTTGAGGTGGTTGTAAATCACGACCAACTCGTTGCGGTCATGCTCAGCAATGAAGCGCTGCTCGTCCGTCTCAAAGGTCTTAAGCCCACCGCGAGTCTCAAAAGTTTCGGTACGTTTGTCGGCAGGGATGTGGGAAAAGTCAATAGTAACGGGTGTCTCCCAGTCGCGGTCCTCGATTTCGTGGGCTCTGATGCCGAGTTTGCTGTTGACCTTACGGAAGCTCTCGGCTTCGTCGTACTTGTTGGCGCCACCGGCCATCTTGGCACTGTTCTCGATTTCCTCGGGCTCACGAGCAAACTCGCGGATCTGTACCAGACTATCGCCAGGCTTGAAAGTAACCTTGAGTCTCAGTGCACGTCGCTCTTCCTTCCGCAGACGACGCTTGCGCTCCTCAGGAGTCTCGTTCAACGGAACCTCTGGAGTGGCCTTGGTGGGCAGAACTGGCGTGTTGACCTTCTTGGGCTGGTGAATTTCATCCATCAAAGCAGAGAAGGCAGATTTAGATGACGAGCTCTCCTTGGGAGTCTCGGTAGCTCTAGGCTTGGTAACCTTTGCCACTGGAGCCTTGGACTCGACAGGCTTGACAATGGGCTTGGGAGGCTCAGGCTTGGTGGGTGCGGGCTTTGTGAGTGGGCGGGTTTTTCCAGGAAGCAGGAGGGCAGACCGGGCTTTAGGTTGGGAGCTTGTTGCTGTTGTAGACGAAGCACCAGTGGTGGCAGGTTTGGCGGCGGCAGCCTTGCTGGCAGCAGGCAGTTTACTACCAGACAACAATGACGGCGGAGGTTTTATGCCAGCAGCGGAGGAAGTGCTACTTTCAGTCGCCGCCTTCTTAGAAGAGCGCGACTCGCCAGCAGCATCATCTTCACGCGAACGTTTGAGTCCAGCAGGCAGCGAGGCTGACGATAATACCTTCTTCTTCACCTCACTATTATTAGGCGCCATCGTCTTGGACGCTGAGGTTGCAGGCAATTTTTTGGTGTCGCTGTTGGGTTTAGCCATTTTGGAAGCTAACGTTGTGGGAGGCAACTTTTTGGAGTCGCTGCCAGAAATTGCGTTTGTTGACTTGGAGCTGGTTGAAGCTGAGCCCTCCTTGGACAGTTTCTTGCTGTCCTTCTGCTTTGACGCCCCACTAACTTTTCCACTAGGTTCTCGCGCGTCAGAGTCGGCGTCGCTCTCGCTGTCGCTTGATTCACTTGGGTTGCTCTCTCCGATTTCGAAAATGCGAGCAACCAGTGCTTTTGTCTCGTCGTCGCCCTTCTTCCCCACCACGCCTTTGATCTGCTTCATCTTTACCAGGGTCAGCAGCTTCATTGTCATGGTTGTGAACCTGGTGAAGAGCTTCAAGATTGCCTTGGTCAGCGACGAGTTTAGTTCACCGGCGTTGTAAAACTTGATGACCAAGTTGCACAACACCACTGCCAAATGTTGCTTCTTCACTGGTTGCTTCTTCTCAGCAGTCCCAGGGATAGTCCCAACGATCAACTCTGCCAACACCTGATCATGGCCGTATGTGATCCCCGCCACAATTGCCTGCTCGAGCCTCAGCTTCAGCTCTGCTGGATCTCTGGTCTCTCTGGGCTCAGATTGGTTGGGGTTCTTGAGCCGAGCGAGTACATCTCTCAACGAAGACGCAATTTCAAGCACATATAGATAATACTCGTTATTGACCTTTTCGAACAAGCCCTTGTTCACCAGATGAGCAGGGTGAAGCCGAACTTTCTCAGTTGCGTTGATAAGCGTCTTTTTTGGCTCGGGTGGCGGAGCTGGAAGAGCAGCCTACGCAAAATATTGAGGTCAGCACAGTCCAAACGATAGAGAAAAACAGATTAACACAGGGTTTCCTTACCCTAGGCCCCAAATGCTCTTTGAGCACTTTCTTCATCCATTCCACCGGCATTTCACAGCCCGCCCTAGCCATCTCCACATCAAGTCGAGTATCGGCCTGATACCGTTCCTCGTCAGTCTTTGCATTCTTGTAGGCTTCGTTGTGGTTAGCCAAACTCTCAGCCATGATCCAGCCGCGAGCAATCTCAGGGAAGAGAGGTGCCTTTCCAGGTCTCGCAGTGAGGGTCACATATCGTTTTGTTGGAGGGCTCTTCTTCAGCTTAACCGGCTCCGCGCCGATCACGATATTAGGAACACCAGGGAACCTAAGCGTATCTTGATCCCGAACAGACTCCAGAAGCTTGGTGTCTTCAAAGTTGATGGTGTAAACCGGCGGAGCAGGCTCAAGATTGCGCGGTCGTTGTTGCACCGGCACTGGTAGTTGGAACAACACTGGCTGGGACTGCACTGGCAAGGGCGAGTTCGAGATGGCTGGTCCCGCAGATACTATTCTGGCCTTTTTGGCTGCAATGGCAGACACAAGTTGGGCATCGGACGGCCGCTTTTGACCCTGAGGAGACGCCGCTTGTTGCACTACGAACTGATGTTGCTGCTGCTGCTGCAACTGGTGATGAGGCAAACCCTGTTGAGGCTGTGGTGAGTGACTGATGATAGGCTGACTTATCGGCTGCTGAGCAGGAACAGACTGAGGAGATTGAACGGAGGCGCTTTGATGCTGCTGAGCGCGCTCGATTTGCTTGGGGAATGGATTTTGTTGGACCGCTTGCTGAGGCACCTGCTGGGGTTGTGATACATGTGGCGATAGCTGGTGCGGTACTTGTGGAGACAGATGTTGGGCCATCTGTTGTGGCATTTGCTGGGAGCGCGGGGCTTGTTGCGCCAGTTGATGTCCCATGGCTTTCTGGGCAGGCTGTGGCTGGGGTGATACATGGGGGCTGCCAACACCGGACATGGGCAGCTGGCTAACAGGCATATGCTGCTGCTGCTGTTGTGGTTGCCCATTAATGCCCGCAGCAAACTGAGGATGAACAGACCTAGCATTGACAGCTTGATGTTGCTGTTGAATCTGAGGGTGGTGTTGCTGATGTTGGCGGTGTACCGGCGGTACCTCTGGCTGATATTGCGCAGCGGTGTTGCGGGCAGAGCCAAACGGAGAAGGGGAGCCGTTTTGAACTGGCGGAGTGAGAGTTGCCGCCTGAGATACAGCAAGTGGGTTCTCATACTGGTGGCCAGGGGCATAACTTGCAGCTACCTGATTATGCCATTGGGGCATGGAATTCTGAGCATAGGCATTCTGTGTGGGTTCGGGTGTATTAAGAAGGCTGTGAGTCGCCTCCTGGTTGTTCGGGGTATGCAGATGAGAGCCAAAGTCATTGTTTTGGGGAACGTTGAGGGCGAACCGGCTGTTGGTGGTCGGGTTTGGCTCTCTTGCATGATGCTGATGTTGTTCTTGATAGAACGAGGGGTCGATCGCTGAATCCTGTCCATACTGGGCTTCCGTCTGACTGGAGTTCGACCACAAGTTGCCAGGGTTGTGTTGTGATAGATACGGATCAAAATCCCGAAACTCAGCAGCACCAGAGAGCTGCGGGTGTATTGGTGCCGAACCGAGGTACTCTGTGTTCTGGAAGCTGTGGTCGCCTCCGTTAGGTTGATCAAAGCCCAAATTCGGGTTCATGAACTGATGATCCCATGTGTCATTAGATATAAAGGCATTGGGGTCCCAGTCCGGCATGCCACTGTCGTGGCCATGGCTTTGGTCCATGGTCCTCCTTCAGGTTGGCGAGGCAAAAAGGGGTGCCACGTGACTCGGCAACCTATATGCAACTAAACAATTTTGACAGGTGGGACTTGGCGAAAATCGTGAAATAGCCACCAACAATAGTGATATCGGCTTCGATCGAAAAAAAAGTCGTTCAAACTCTTTGAAACCTCAGTCGTAATATCGGTAGTTGGACAACTGGTGATGGTGGAAGTGAAGCACTTGGATAGAAGAATCGGGATTCGTGAAATCGGGTATTTTGCAACAAAACGAACGAAAGGAGAGGTTCACAAATCGGTTAAGTGCATGCAGCGAGTTGTGTGTGGGGCGTTTCTGAATTCGGACTAGTGCGATGTGTCTAAAGCGGAAAAGTGTCAGTCAACCTGCAGCACCAACAAGATCCCGGCAAAAAAACAATGCGCCATTGTGCGACGTGAGCAAAAAGCAGCCAACGACTGGAGAGTATCTCCATCCTCCGAGCCAAGAGAGCCACCATCCAACCCAGGAAGAGCAGAGAGCAGCCTGCAACACCAGAGAACAACACCACCACCACCACACCAGCAGCCAGCAGCCAGCAGCCAGCAGACCACAGCGAGAGAAGGCGAGGGACAACACGGTATCATGAGAGACTCAGAGACGGTTCTGTGTTGATTCAATAGTCATTTTATCGCAGTCGCAACCGAGGGTCGCTAAGCTGATTCTCGAGACCGGCCTGTCTGTGTCCAGTGTGTCGGGCAGTGGTTCCGCGACGTCGATGCTGGCCTCTCTGTCCGGGCCGTGGTGCTGTGGTGTGTTGAGGAGTGACTGATCTTGGAATGCCGGGTAACTATTTGCGCCCAGGGCTTAATTTTCCCAATGGCTGGAACCAACCGGGCAAACCGGAAGATGATGTCCTTGATGGATGGACTGCATTTCAGACAGGCAGTGTCTTGCAGAACAGATTCCTCCCATTTTCTGGTGGCCATCATTCATCAGTCCGATCTCAAGGGGAAGAGATGATTCCATGGTGTGTGTTGTGTGTGTGTCTGTAGGTGTGTGTGGGTGTGAGGTGGGCTGGGCGGGGACCCCCCTGAAAGTGCCCCTCTCCCAGAAGCCAGAAGGCCGGGAGCGCAGCGCACCTCAGGATGCCCCGCAGCAGCTCGGCCGTCAGGTGCTTCTGCTCTTCTGCAAGCCAGAGAAGATCTGGATTTGTGCATGGGACAATTAACCAGGGATGGATGGGCCGACGACTGTGACATTGAATTATTGCCAGTGGCTGTCCCGTCTGCTCTCTCTGCTGCTGTGGTTGCTCTCCATCGCGTGTTCTGCACTTGGTCCCATGACAGGAGTTTAAGTGTTACTTGCAGTCAGATAACGGCCCTCCTCTGTAGCCACCGCTCCACGTTGGCTGCCGTCGCTCTTCGCAAGTCCTTCGGAGTCCGCACTGCAGATCGCCGGCTGCGGAATCAAGACTGCGTGATTGAACAGGCACTTCCAGGTATTCTTTCATGGCCGATAAGGGAGATACAACATCCAACTGCTTGCTCAAGTCTTCTTGTGGAATTTTGGGGGGACGGATGAGTTTATGCATACCCTTTGTTGTAGCTGTGTCTTGTGTGTCCAGCAGTGTTTGCAACACGAATCCCTTCCGCGGTGTTGTGTGGCAGAGACACGTCATCACCACCGTCCTTTCGCAGGCGACGTACGTCTCGTTAGCAGAGCCTGCCCGGCGCCTTACAACATTTTCCGCGTATATCTAGACAGAAAACCCAGGGCTGGACTAATTTCAAATGATTAAAAAGCAGGCCGACGCGTCTGTAGTGTGATGAAGAAGTGAGAACGAATCGACGGGCGCCGAAATTAAACAACGCTCCAAATCTCTGTCCAGGCCCAGAATTGCCTATACGAGTGGGCTGGAATGGAGGAGTGAGTATGAAAAAGCCGTGACTTGAGCGCGCAACACCCAGTAAGGCAGTTAGGAGAATTGTTGGGGATTTCCGTTTGGGTTGAGAAGAGGTTTTGGGAACAGAGCCACGGGATGTCGTTGAAAGAGAAAAGTTGGCTCTGCGTCGCGCAAAGCCAGCTGCCGGTGCCATTAAAGGGCTGGGCGTGGCTGGCTGGCTGGCGGCTGGTCCGTGCATGTGGCGGGAAGACCTTGTCAGCCAATCTAAATCGGATCGACCCCCTCAATCGGTCACCATCTCACCGAGGCGGCACCTGGCTGCAGAAGACTGGCAACTGTATCTTCCCCATAGCCGGACCGTCACCGAACTGCAGTGCTCCAGGCAGGCAGGTACGGTACTGCCTTATGACAGTGGCCCCCAAGTTCCAAGAGTGGACGTAAAGGTGTCCATGAAATTCATTGTGGGGGCAATCTTCGAACATGTGGCCGACGCCGACACTAACACCTGAGCATGTAAACCTAGCAAAGGAATGAACTGCGATTACACTTCACCAAGAACAAGACAACACAGCTGATCCTCGACGACTACCAAGTATAGCACAGCTCCCTGCACATCCACATCACCCACAGCCAGCTTGAAGGCGGAGCTTGCGCCGTCCCAATCGTTCGAACTCGAGGCCGAAGCCAATAAAAGACAGGAAAGGGGAGATAGCAGCAGCTTTGGAATACAGTACACAGTATCAACAGGTTGGAGGTCACAATCATGGCGGCGGCGCGGGGCAATGCGCTTCGCGATAAGCAGATCCGTATGCTCATTCCTCTTTTTCTGTCACTGTTGTAATCATTGGCTGCGCTCGACTTGACCATCATGTCTGACTTGCCCTGTGCAACTTAGTCTCGATCAGAAAGATCCTCAACTTAAATGAAGCTCTCGAGCTCAGCGAAGGCGACGAAGTCAATGCCAATGGCCTGCCCGTGGCCCCTATACTGAAGGACGGAACGCCTATCTGGAAGGTCCTTGTGTTTGACGTAAGCTGGCACCTCTCCTCAAGCTTATAACTCTGGCAAGAGGCTAACAGCTTTGTCTCTTTCAGGACCTTGGCCGTGATGTCATCAGTCCAGTACTCCAAGTGTCGGACCTGCGGTCACTGGGTGTGACGATGCATATGTGGGTTGCGGACCATTTCCAGTAACCAAGGCGACCTGTAGCTAACTGTTGGTGTAGGCACATTTCAGCCAACAGAGCCAAAATTCCCGATGTACCAGCGATATATCTCGTCGAGCCCACACCCGCAAACCTCGAGGCGATCACGAGGGACCTCAAGAATGGGCTCTACAGCTCTGTCTATGTCAACTTCCTCTCCTCGATCCCACGGCCGCTGTTGGAAGACTTCGCTGCGCAAACAGCTGTCACGGAAACATCAGAACAGATCGCACAGATCTACGACCAGTATCTCAACTTTATCGTCACAGAACCAGATCTCTTCAGTCTAGGGATGCAAAAGCAACACACATACTGGGCCCTGAACAGTGCCAAGACAAACGACGAAGAGCTGGATCGTGTAGTAGATCGCATTGTCAGTGGGTTGTTTAGTGTTGTGGTGACGTTAGGTATGTTTTCACCAACCTTGATGTGGTGTTATTGCGCTGGTTGGCTAACTGTAGTTTCTCCAGGTGTAATCCCAGTTGTAGGTTCTCCAACACCAAGTCTACCGCCAAGAAAACAACTGTAAGCCTGAGGAAGCATGCTAATCGTTTGCTCTTACAGATTCGTTGTCCAAAAGGTGCTGCAGCTGAGGTGATAGCTCAAAGACTTGACCGCAAGCTCCGGGACCACGTTTTGAACTCCAAAGACAACCTGTTTTCTTCTCAATCACGAACACCAGGCGTGGCGGCGGGAACACCCACGTCAAGACCTGTACTAATCATCCTTGATCGCAACGTGGACTTGATCCCCATGCTTTCTCACTCCTGGACCTACCAGAGCTTGTGTTTCGACGTCTTCAGGTCTGAGCTGAATCGCATTACGATCGAGACCCCCGTGGACTCCAACAACCCCGCCAAAGGCACAACCAAGAAAAGCTACGATTTGGCCGCCAATGACTTTTTCTGGGCCAAGAATGCCTGCCTCCCATTCCCTCAGGTGGCCGAAGACATTGATGCCGAGCTCACCAAGTACAAGGAAGAGGCAGAAGCCATCACCAAGAAGACTGGTGTCACGGACTTTGAAGATCTGCAAAATGATACCAGTGCCAGCGCGCAACATCTCAAAGCAGCCATCACGCTGCTTCCCGAGCTTCGAGAACGCAAGGCCACGTTGGATATGCACATGAACATTCTTGCCGCTATTTTGCAGGAAATTCAAAACCGCAAGCTGGACAACTATTTCCAGCTAGAAGAGGAGGTGGCCAAGCAGACCAAGGCCCAGATCTTGGAAATGATCAGAACAGACGACAAGGGTCAACCAACAGACAAGCTCCGTCTGTTTATTATCTGGTTCCTCAGCACGGAGCAGGACGTGTCCAGGCCGGAATGGCAACAGTTCGAAGAGGCCTTGGTCGGTGCTGGTTGTGACAAGACATGCCTGGCTTACATCAGACAGTAAGGAGTTCCCGATCTTATCATCACACGTAGCAAGCTTCTAACTTCAGACACAGAGTCCGAGCAACCACCAAAATGACACAGCTCACTACCATCAGCAACCAGCAATCAACTGGTCAGCAATCTGGCTCTTCGGACCTTTTCAACCGCTTCTCGGCGATCTCCACCCGTCTTACTGACAGACTCAAGGAGACTGGCGTGCCGACTAACGCCCTTTCATCCAATGTTGCCTCTCTCCTCGGCGGCATCAAGAACTTCTTGCCCGTGGACCGTGATCTTACAGTAACCAAGATTACCGAATCCATCATGGACCCTTCGGCGGCCAGCTCATCGGCCATTGCCAAGACGGAGCACTACCTCTACTTTGATCCCCGGAGCGCAAACGCAAGAGGGACGATGCCACAACCGGTCCGGGCGGCAACTCAAGGCGGGGCACCCGGTGGGCTACCCGGCGGTCCTGGAGGCGCTCCTGGAATGGGGGCAAGCTTTGGACAGCGGAGACAGGGGTTCTCGGAGGCGCTGGTGTTCATGGTGGGCGGCGGGTCCATGGATGAGTATGGCAACTTGCAGGAGTGGGCTGCGAGAGGAGCCACGAGCGGTGATAAGGTCAAGAAGAGAGTTTTGTACGGTGCAAGTGAACTGATTAATGCCGGGCAGTTTATCACCGAGGAGCTGAATAGGCTTGGGAAGGAGATTTCTTAGCAGCAAACTGAAATCTTCAAAATGGTTGGCTGAGTGGGATAATATGACTGAGTTATAGTATGTAGAGCAGGCAAGGGGTTTATCAAAACGGAATATTATTGTTGCTCATTTTTTGTCATTGTGAATATTCAAAACGTGGGAGGAAATTGGAATTTGTGACGAGCATATTTCGGCAGCATATATGAAACCAGGCGAGGGAGTCGTACCGAATCCGAGCCGGCGGGATCACCATGTGAATTGGTCGAATGTGCGGTATGCATCCAAGCCGTTGAACAGTTGAACACGGGGAAGCTAAATGTAATGGCTGAGGATTGGAGCGGGTGCTTTGTCCAGTTAGGATTCGTTGAAGGAGGGCTTACGTGGTGAGGGTACGAATACACGCTCGAAACACTATGCTTGGCGGTTAAGAAAATGCAGGGTGTTGTTGTAGTTTCCAATCTCGACATTTTTTTTCTGCAGAATTTATTGCGCACTACCGAATTCTGGAGTTGGAGAATGTCAAGCTAAAACGCCTTGGCCTTAATGTTGATAGTCACGGTTGCCACTGTGTTCGTGGCACGAGTGGCTTATACTAATGGGGATACCTGAATGGACGAGGAAATGCGGCGAGTCTGGATTGACTTTTTGCTAGCAATGCAAAAAAAAGGAACCGTTTCCAATTGGGGGGCCCAAGGACATCAGACAAGACGGCCCGATTTTTTGGTTCCTCCACAATGTCAAAGAGTGCGAGACGAGGAAAAGTTAAAATGTAAAAATAGCATGGGATTTTTCCTAGACCTGGGGACCGGGCTGACCTGCGGGTTGGGAGGTTAAAGAAGGGGGTCACCGTTGGGATGGTCGAGACCGTTGTCAGGTGTACTCTTACGTGAAGATAAAGGATGGAAAGGCAGAGAGGAGTGGGAAGTTCCAGGTTGGGTCTGGGGTTCTGGCCTGGCCTGGCGGGTTGATGATTGTCGACCTGACTGCTACTATGTGATCAAATGAAGATAAGATGGATGGATGCTATAGTGTATCACAAGCTCAATCTTGATCGATAGGTAGGCTGGAGGGTTGGGGTTGAAGTTGGATTCATATGGTTGCACTGCAGAAACGCAAACGCAGAGTGAAGACCGGTCGTCGAATTGGATGCTTCTTTTGGGGGTGTGCAGCAGCGGCAATGAGAGCGGAACGCAGCGGGTGCATGGCAGCATCTTCAGGTTGATGAAAACAGAGCAGGGGTGAGGTGTGGAAGAGGCGGTTTCTGTGGTTGCCGCGCTGCACAGCCGCTGGGCGGCTCTCGGATTGCTTGCTTGTTGTTGGTGTTTGTTGAGGATGTGGGTGAATGATTCAGTCGTGGGTTCCCTCAGCTCAGCTGAGGCTGGCCAAGCAATGCCTGTGATCTCTGTCAAATGCGGAGCCTGGGCTGCCAAAGGACAACTCGGCCCATCTCAAGATATTTTGATTACAAGGTGAGGTTGATGGTGATCTTTTGGGATAGTTGATAGAAAAGCACCCCACAGTCCAAGAGAAACAGAAACAGGCTTTCCACCCCTCCATTTCAACCCCTTAAACGGTGCGCTTGACCCAATCAGCAGGCGCCTTATCAAGTCCCGCCCAGGTCCCAACGTCACACCTTCCCAAGTTAGGCGCTGAAACGCAAGACAGTTCAGCGGAGTGCTTGTGGCTCTGCCGGGCATCTCCCTGGGACGCAACGCCCCTTCATTCGCGTCCATTCGCTGAGCCTCCCCCGTCAGTTGCCCCTCGAGACCCCTGTCAGCTGTCCATTAAGGCTTGACCTTCACGAAACTGCGACTCCCGCCTTTTTTTGAGAAGAATTCCACTCGCCAGGAGATCCCGTTGCTACTCTTTGCAACAGAGCCCAAAGCACCCAAACACTGCTGCTCGCTTGGCAGCAGAAACTCTATTCTGTCGTGAGCGCTTCGACCGACCGACCGCCTGAGCAACGCGCATCTGTAACTTATCCGCACCGAACCGCAACCCTTCCCGCCGCTAGAGAAAGAAATCGAGACGAACGACGACCCGCGAGACTGTTCGTGCCGCGTTTTTGGTGCCGCCGCGCAAAGGGCCGGAGAGGGCCAACTAATATTCAACCCTTTTCTGTTCGAGCAATAGTGACCGCCAGGCTGCGGCCAGCTCAAGGGAGAGAGGGGAACAAGGAGAAAGCAAGAAAGTTCGACATTCCAGCAGAGGGCGCAACTTGTGAAACCGAGGGATAGCAGACGACAACCACCTCCTTTTTTCTTGTTCCACCACCACCACATACCACACATAAAAGAAATCTACAACTTGTAGACAGGAAAGAAATAAGGTCCTAGTCCCCCGAAAAGGGACTCAACATTAGCAAACATGGCGTATAATCGTTTAAGTAAGTCACACACTCTTTTGTTACCATCAATCCAGTTGTCATGAGAACCACACTTCCCTTCGTCTTACATTTCCCTGTGATCCATCCTCATGAGACCCTGAATTCGAGGTGGCGGTGGGTCGCTCTACAAGGGCAGGCCCGACCTTAATCCTCTGGGTTTCCCTTCCTCCTCCCTACCCCTTCCGCGTTTGTACCTTTCGCTCCTCCACACCTTTGCCGATCCCAGCATCACATCACATTCTTTACCCCTTCAAAGCCCAAGTGGCCGGTTTTTCTGGGTGCCTCGTTCCTCCTTTTCTGGCCCGCGGCCTCTGTCCGAGCCGCATCATTGTTTCTCGTCCTCCTCTGTCTTGCCTGGTGCAAGTCGGCTTTTCACCCCTACCATACCTCCTACTCAGCTCAGCATTCGACCTACTGCACGAGTGGAAGCTGTGTCAGGTCTCGCGGCGCAGTAGCTTGGTTTATTCTTAATTCTACCTACCTTAAGGGTCCGTATTACGTTGGCCTGCATATGTGGGAAAGCTGGCCTACGCTAGGGGCGAAAGTTTACTCAGGGGAAGGGGATCAAGGCTAACTTTCTGGACGTACAGACGACGATTATTACGAGAGCCATCCCATGGAGACGCGTAACCCACGCAGGAGCCCTTCTCCTGCCCATCCCATGCAATCTGGGTACCAACTTGACGACGCGCCCTACGGACACTCCCATTTGGATATGCCCAGTGCTGGTCCTGGTAGATTTAGCCCTGGTGATTCGTTACAAATGCAGACCGCTGTGAGTATCTCTGGGAATGGGGGGATGTTGAGGGCGGAAGACTGACTCTGGTGGAATAGCAATCCGTAGACAACTTGGGGGGGTATGGGGTGAACCCGGAGGCACACCACGATGCCTACTACAACCAGCCATATGAGCCAACGCCCATGCAGGGCCAGGGGTATGACGGGGGTGGAGGATATTTCCCCGAGGACGACAGACGGCCGATGTTGACGCACAACGACTCGCAAGTTGGGCAAAACGACCCCTATCACGACAAGCAGCAGGCGCCAAAAAGTCAAAATGCGATCAAGAGGTGGAAGACGGTCAAGCAGGTTCTGTTGTACCGCGGGAACTTGGTTCTTGATTGCCCAATTCCTCCAAAGCTGCTGAACCAGCTTCCCCACGGGGAGCGCGATGAGTTCACCCACATGAGATATACGGCTGCCACCTGCGATCCTTCGGATTTCTACAACGAGAACTTCACCCTCCGCCAAAAGCTCTTCAGCAAGCCCAGACATACCGAGCTGTTCATTGTGGTCACCATGTACAACGAAGACGAAATTCTGTTTGCGCGTACCATGATTGGTGTGTTCAAGAACGTCGAGTACATGTGCAAACGGACTGAGAGCAAGACCTGGGGCAAGGATGCGTGGAAGAAGATTGTGGTGTGCGTCGTTAGTGACGGTCGTGCCAAGATTAACCCAAGGACGAGAGCTTTGCTCGCTGGTATGGGCGTGTATCAAGAGGGTATTGCCAAACAGCAAGTTAACAATAAGGACGTCACGGCACACATCTACGAATACACCACCCAGGTCGGCATGGCCATCAAGAACGACGTTGTGCAGCTTATTCCCAAGCAGCAGCCCGTTCAGATGCTTTTCTGTCTCAAGGAAAAGAACCAGAAGAAGATCAACTCTCATCGTTGGTTCTTTGACGCCTTCGGAAAGGTGCTGGATCCCAACATTTGCGTGTTGATCGACGCTGGTACCAAGCCTGGTGGCAGCTCGATTTACCAGCTTTGGAAGGCTTTCGACCTTGAGCCCATGTGCGGTGGTGCCTGCGGCGAGATCAAGGCTATGCTAGGTGGGTTCTATCAATTTACGCATGCCTTTCCCATGATAAGTAGCTAACCATCGCTTGTAGGCAAGGGTGGAAAGAATTTGATCAACCCACTGGTGGCCACGCAAAACTTCGAGTACAAGATGAGTAACATATTGGACAAGCCTCTCGAATCTGCCTTTGGTTTCATTTCCGTCTTGCCCGGTGCCTTCTCGGCTTACCGGTACGTTGCGCTGCAAAACGACAAGAACGGTCAGGGGCCGTTGGAGAAGTACTTTGCTGGTGAGAAACTGCACGGCGGTGATGCTGGTATTTTCACAGCCAACATGTACCTCGCCGAAGATCGTATTCTGTGCTTCGAGCTTGTCACCAAGCGGAACTGCCACTGGATTCTTCAGTACGTCAAGTCGGCCACGGGCGAGACTGATGTGCCAGACACGGTTACCGAGTTGATTCTCCAGCGTCGTCGCTGGCTTAACGGTTCTTTCTTCGCTGCTATCTACGCCATTGTCCACTTCCATCAGTTCTTCCGGTCCGATCACTCTATTTTCCGCAAATTCTTCTTCTTTATCGAATTCATCTTCAACACCATCAACATGATCTTCGCTTGGTTCGCTATCGGCAACTTCTTTTTGGTTTTCAAGATCCTGACGACAAGCTTGGGAGACGAAAAACTATTGGGTAAAGTGGGCGAAATCTTGGGTGTGGTGTTCCTCTGGCTGTACGGCGTATCGCTCATGACATGCTTCGTCTTGGCGATGGGCAACAGGCCAGCTGGTTCCGGGAGATATTACATGGCCATGGTTATTTTCTGGGCCATCATCTTCATCTATCTCATGTTTGCAGCCGTATACATCGCCGTTGACGCCATCATTCAAGATCTGCAAGTTAACAACTTCAGCATCGATTCTTTGTTCAAGAACCAGGTCTTCTACACGTTGATCATCTCGGTTCTGTCGACGTACGGTCTTTGGTTCATCGCCTCGCTCATGATGTTCGACCCCTGGCACATGTTCACCTCGTTGATTCAGTATATGTTGCTCTCTCCCACCTACACCAACGTCCTGAACGTGTACGCCTTTTGCAACACGCACGACATCTCGTGGGGTACCAAGGGTGACGACAAGCCGGATGCTTTGCCCACAGTCAGCACCAAGGACGGCCAGGGTAAGACTGATTTGCCTGATGAGGGCGATCTCAACGCGCAGTACGAGAGGGAAATGCAAGTCTTTAGCCGCAAGCCCGTCAAGGAGGTCAAGGCCCCAACACCGGCTCAGCTCGAGGAGAAGCAGATGGATTACTACAGAGGCGTCAGGACGGTGGTCGTGTTGATTTGGATGTTGATGAACTTTGCCCTGGTCGCTGTCGTGCTGAGCACGGGCGGTCTGGACAGAGTTGTGGAGGACGATTCGGGGAGAACCGAGGAGGAGTCCAAGGCCCACAAGGCCAACATTTACCTGCAGGTGGTGTTGTGGAGTGTGGCTGGTTTGAGTGCGTTCAAGTTTATTGGCGCGTTGTGGTTCTTGATTGTGAGGATGTTTAGGGGTGTCTAAAGTGATACCAGGGTAATATCTGTTTGAAACGAAGACATGAGAAACTCTTTCATAGGGGATGAAAAAACGAGGGGGGATGGATACCACGGGTGTGGGCGGTTTAGAGATACCTTGGTTGCGTTTTTTTTTCTGACGCGTTTTTTTGAAGCTTTTTTGGAGTCTATCTCCTTGGGAGATGGGGGGATATTTCTTGAGAGTTTTGTTTTGATGAATGTTAGCCTGTTTATATAATCATTTTTGATCCGAGTTATTTGCGGAGGTGTGGTTGTGTTTTGAGTAGTCCTTGCTATGGCTCTGCTTTTAAGAGATATCCCATCACGACTAGACTTGTATGTGTGTACCTATGTATCATATAGAGAGATGATTTCTACTGGGCCTTTTCAAGAAGAAAACAGGCGTTTAGTCTATTTTTTCAAGACCTATCATGTTCTTTTAAGGCATCGTAATTATCCTTTCAGGCTTAATAACTCTCTTTTGAGACCGAATAACTATCTTTTGAAGTTTATCAACGATTTTTGAGGGCCTGTTGACTATCCACAAGAAGGTCTTGATTATTTTTAGGGCGTAGTTCAGCATTTCTGCGTTGATCTAATTCGCAGTGCCAGGTATCGTGATGATGATGAGGAAGGGCGGGCAAAACTTGTACAATACACGCACATATGCAGTGAGCATGTTGGGTTGGGTTAATGAAACATTCTCTTTGGATTTCGTGTCTCATATGTGTGTCCATAACGACAGTAAACCGAACACTTTCCAGAAACCACTCCCAGTTCCCGAATAACCAAGTTAAATGACAACGCTGTCCCTTTCCCTGGCTCCTTGCCATACCATATCAAATCTAGGGGTATCTGTTGGTAATAAAAACAGATTTGCCTTCCCAGCCCAACCTTTGGGGTCCTTCTACTCCAAGTAAAACTCCGATAGGAACCATATACCAGTTTTGTTTCCAACTCAAGATGGTAAAAACGACGCCGTCCCTTTTCAAACTCCAGATCGTATCATAGCTGCGGTATCCGGTTCAAGATACCCGAGTAACAACAGCGTTTCTGTCCCCCAACTTCCAAAAGCCAATGCTTTTCAATCAAAACCAAGACAAGCCCTCCAAAATCACATCTCGTATTCAGTCAGGCCGTGGCGCCTCTTGGTCTCCTGGTTGCTCTCCTCATCAAGCCGCCTGCAAAGCTCCTGCGTCATGCGAGCGTTATATTCTGAGCAATCGGCCCCCCAAGGCGTCCTCATCCTCCTCATCATCCGTCGTCCCAACCGACTTGCGTTTCTTTGTCGGGGAAGGAAACCCACCATCACGCTTATCATTGTCAGCAGCCTTGTCACTGCCAACACACCCCTCACTGCTGCCAGAAGATACGGTAGACACCCCATCACAACCCACCATCACCTCCTCCATATTCCCCCTATCCCCCCACCTCCTCTTCTTCCTCATCACCTCCTCCTTTTCCCGCCGTCTAATCTCCTCGAGTACGCCCCCCAAAATCCTCCCCTCCCCCTCCCCGTTTCTCAAATCCACAACCCCCCTGTACAACTCAAGCAACCCCTCCACCCCCCCTTCCAACTCCCTCACCATCTTTTCGAAATGGACGTAAAAACCGTGAATTTGAAACAACCGCGTCTCCATATTCCTCTTCAGGTTGTTGTCCATCGTGTACAAACCCCCCAAAAGAAACATCTCGTACTGCTCCAGCGACTGAAACTCTATCCTCGGGATCTTCCCCCAGTTGTGGTCGTTGAGGTCATGGTTCTCCGGTCCGAAGCAGGTCAACAGGTCGTCGAGGAGGATGGTAGGGTCGTTGGATAGACCAAAGAACTTGCCCGCGTGGGGGGTGAAGCACCGGTGTGGGCAGGAGGAGTAGGGGAGGGGGCAGGAGGGGCAGGTGTATACCCTGGGTTGGGTGGCCCAGTGCTCACGGAGGGTGGTTTGGTGGAAGGGGGCGAGGTTGGTGGGGTGAAAGATGTGGTAGCAGATTGTTGAGCCGAAGGTGCCCAGGTGGCCGGTTGGGTGGTAGGTGTTGTACCAGTTTATGAGGATCTTGAGGTAGAGGATGAAGTTGTAGCCGGGGGGGTAGGTGGTGGTGGAACCGGGGTAAGGGGGTGGTTGGTTCCATTTGGGGATGACCTCAAACGCGGATTTGCGCTGGCTTAAAGGGGGAGATGGGGGTGAAGACCTCGGGTGATTTTCCCTTGCCGGCATCCTCCAATCAGTAAGGGAATGAGACCCGGCTTCAAACGGAGGACAGGGATGTGAGGGCCCCAAGGGTGTCGATCACGCGGGGCAAGGATCAACAACGTGCTGGATGGATCAACGTGGTTGGTGGGCGGGCCGTGGTAACTGGGAATGAACGGCCCGCATAATACATCCCCCCGACTCCAAT